CATTTTCATTCATGCACAGATAGGTAGTCAGCTTAGCATCTATTATGTGCTGTTCACTAAGCAGGATGCTGGCAACATACAGTAAACAAGAATGAGCCAACCCTGGTCCCCCTGGAGCTTGCTTAAAATGTAATTCTAGTGCAGAGGCAAGAAACATCAGAAAACTAATTTGCTATAATACTTAAGGTAACACATAAGCTGTTTCCACCGCAAACTAAAAATCTCCCATTCTAACAAAATATTGGACACATGGTTGTGTGAACAATAGTTTCCATCATGATTAATTATAACATACTTGAAAAATAGATTATTTTGTTTCAAAGAACTGGTTGAAGCAAAAATGTAACATAAGGAGTGGGTACAGTAAGTCAATTTCTTTAAAAATTGCCATGGACAAGTAAATAACATATTGAAAATAGGAAGTTGATTTTCTAGTAAGTTCAAGACAACAGCTTTTGAAAGACCTTCGTGAAAAACCCAACAGTGGATAGATAGGGATTCCCATGTATGCCAGTTATTAGTTTATTATCTCTTAGTTCCAAATCCACCCTTCACTGCCTACTATGGAAAAATGGATACGGGCTTTTAAAATATTTTTCTTTTAATAGCTGGTACAATGGTAACCTTTGAAGATAAAAGGCACTAGAAAGACCTAGAAGAAGAAAATTTTTTTTCTCCTCAGTTCTGGTATGTTCTATTGCGGCAGTGTGGGTGGCTTCCCCAGCCCCAGGCTCCTGCAGTGATGACAGCCAGCAGCACCTAGCACACAACAGCTTCCCCTGGGAGACTCTTTGGATGGTTTTGTAACAAAGTGTCCCCAGGCAGATATCTTGCTGTGCACAGCCTTCCCCATTACCTGAAGGGGCATATTTCTGGCAAGTTCCGCCACACCACCCCACACCACAGCAGCTCATCTACCATCCAGGGACTATAGCTATGTCTTCTCCTGCAAGGTGAGGATCTTAGCTCTGGGGTGATGCTCTTCCTCAGAAGCCTGTCTCAGCTCTAGTGGGAGTGGTTGCTCCTTCATCTGCTATTCCTGTATTCTTGAGTTCTTATTCACTAATCCCTGATATTCAAATTCTTTGTGATAGTAATCCTTTATGTTCAATTTGCTCTGTTCGAATTACTGGACATTTCTCTTTCCTCATTAGACCCTGATCAACACACCATACTATATCACTTGCAATGCAGAACTTTCCTTTAAATATGGCCCTAAAATTATGGAATTTACATAACTGCAAGGATATCGCTAAATAGTTGAAAGAGTCAATAATAAAAACAGTAAACTAGGATGGAAGACATGACCCTGAGGAGGCC